TTGATTAGTTCAGAAAATTTCGATCCTTACCTTCTAGTATGTCGTCAGAAGATTAATATCCTCAGGAGAGGCCCAAATGCTCTAAAGTAATTTGTGTAGATATTACTTTATCTTATATCCTGATACTCTTCAGTTTGAATTCTTGACATAGGGCAATCATTGAAATAGACCCAGAGACCTTGGAGGAGCCTGTGTATATCACTGGGTCCAGATTTGGATATCAGATTTGGATATCCATGAGTAGCCTGCACATGTCCCTTGGAGATCCCTGGACTACATATCGTCTGGTGGACTGTGTATGTCCCTTGGAGATCCCAGGACTACATACCGTCTGGTGGACTGTGTATGTCCCTTGGAGATCCCTGGACTACATACCGTCTGGTGGACTGTGTATGTCCCTTGGAGATCCCAGGACTACATACCGTCTGGTGGACTGTGTATGTCCCTTGGAGATCCCTGGACTACATACCGTCTGGTGGACTGTGTATGTCCCTTGGAGATCCCTGGACTACATACCGTCTGGTGGACTGTGTATGTCCCTTGGAGATCCCTGGACTACATACCGTCTGGTGGACTGTGTATGTCCCTTGGAGATCCCAGGACTACATACCGTCTGGTGGACTGTGTATGTCCCTTGGAGATCCCTGGACTACATACCGTCTGGTGGACTGTGTATGTCCCTTGGAGATCCCTGGACTACATACCGTCTGGTGGACTGTGTATGTCCCTTGGAGATCCCTGGACTACATACCGTCTGGTGGACTGTGTATGTCCCTTGGAGATCCCAGGACTACATACCGTCTGGTGGACTGTGTATGTCCCTTGGGGATCCCTGGACTACATACCGTCTGGTGGACTGTGTATGTCCCTTGGAGATCCCAGGACTACATACCGTCTGTTGGACTGTGTATGTCCCTTGGAGATCCCAGGACTACATACGGTCTGGTGGACTGTGTATGTCCCAGGACTACATACGGTCTGGTGGACTGTGTATGTCCCTTGGAGATCCCTGGACCAGATAGCCACAGGTGGCCTTTGTTGGTCCCATGACCAGGTATTGTCCGTGAAATTCCAGGGCCTAATGTAGATATACATAACCACTCTGTTGTATCCTTGGATCCTTTGGTAGCCTGTTCAGTAGTTGCCAATGTTGATGCTGTAGATAATTGTGTGTGGGGTGCCTCTTGTCTGTTGTGTGCCTTTGTAATGGTAGTGTAGAAACTCTCCCCACCACACACACACACACACACACACACACACACACGCACATATATATATATACATGCTCAGCATACTATACACAAAGCAGTTCAACATAAGTTTTTTTATAGGGAGGAAGTCTAAGTGTAAAGCAATGCTATTCTTAAGTGATGTTCTGAAATGCTGTTGAATTTTTTTTTTTTTTACCAACAAAAAAGAGAATGGGATAGATATCCGTCTTACATCCAAGTTCAGATAAAAGGTGGAGAAGTATTCATTATTGTACAACAGTAATATATACACAACTTATATCATGAGTATATTTAGTCATCGATGATATTGATTTTATATTTGTTAAGTTTTATTATTTATTTGTAATTTAAATCATACGCATGTAAATACTTCTTTAGTCCGTCAACAATCATCTTCCGTTTGTTGGGTTTCTGCATTTTGATGTTGATCCGGCTAAAAAGACTCTTTCCATCAACCAGGCTGTATATCTGTTGGGTAAGATTTTCTATTTAGAACCTTCATTATCTAGTCGTGATATCAAATTATCATTCAAGACAAAACCCATCATTAAAACCATGATTCTCTATGTTAGGATGCTATTACTGAGGGTTGTGAATGGTAAAAACCATTGTTATATTGATTTGTGTAGGATAGTAACAGCCAGGGATCATTAACAATCTATTATCAGATCTAGACTAGACAGGCTATGCCATCCTAATGAATGTTCAATTTTTTAACATCAGTGTCTTGATTGAAAAATGAAATTATAAAGATTCATTAAAACGTGGTCAGAATGAAGGTCATATGTTTCTGGCTTGGTACAGCTAGATCACAGTGAAGTGATGGTAGATAATGACGGGCCTGGGTACAGCTAGATCACAGTGAAGTGATGGTAGAGAATGAGGGGCTTGGGTACAGCTAGGTCACAGTGAAGTGATGGTAGAGAATGACGGGCCTGGGTACAGCTAGATCACAGTGAAGTGGTGGCAGAGAATGACGGGCCTGGGTACAGCTAGATCACAGTGAAGTGGTGGCAGAGAATGACGGGCCTGGGTACAGCTAGATCACAGTGAAAGATGGTAGGGTAGAATTTCTCCACTTGGATGTAAGACCGATTACAACTGAAAGGTAAAGCCATATTATAGGTGTATGTTGGTCTGGAAGAGCATTTCTGTACATGTCCTATATATAGATTGTATACTGTTATATTTAGCTTTGTAGTTGTACTGTGGATCTGTTGTCAACACACACGATTTCAAAACTCTTCAAGTCCCAATAGAACAAATTAGAAACATAACCATAGAACTTTCGTTTTTCTCTGAATTTAGTAATGCTGTTTAAAAATGTTGGAATTTACAGTGCATCTTTTCCTGAAAGGAAGATTATAAAGTACAGTCAAGTGACTCTCCAACAGTATACATTGTGTTGTTTTTAGGGAGGGGGGATAATTTTAGTACATACAATCAAATTTTTTATTTTTAGAACTATCTGCAGCAAAATTATTTGATTTATCATCTTCAATAAAAAAATATCTTTTTTATCCTCAGATTGTGAATTAAACTTTGTAGAATTGTACCAACATTCATGTAAATGCCTATTGCAGTGGGCTAATTGGGTCTCATTTTAACTGCCAATTTATCTAGTTTGACTCTTCCACGGACAGGTTAGTTTGCCAAAATGTTCTGTGTTCTATCGAAAGAAGATTGTAAGATATAGTCTTTGTGTCACTTGGCTGCATTGTATGTCAGTAGTAGGTTTTACTGTGGAATGAATTTCAGGGAGGATTCCTACTGTAGACAATGAAATATCAAAGATGATTTATTGTGTAAACTGCACTCCTACTAGGAATTCACCGCTCTACCCAGTAATGACTCCTTAGAATCAAATACTGTTTGTTCTGTGTTATCTCCCATGGGCCAGTCTCCAACATGTCAGGACAGAAATGTTATGTTGCTTTTTTATGACATTCCAAGGTTAATATCACACACAAACAAGTCGTTAGCAGCTAGTGTTGAAAACATTACATAGGATTAAAAACCACAAAACTCCCATCTATTGCTATTGTTTTTCACAATGACAAAAATCTTGTTACTTAAAATAGTTTTTAAATTAACAAAAAAATCATAATCAATATAAGGTGCTTTTGACTTATTTTTCAGTGTGTGCGTGTGTTTATATAAAAGTTTTTCATAAAGAAGTTTTTAAGAAATGTTGCTCCTGATGTTTTTGAAATGAAAAGTAGAGCTATATTGTTGTATGGGATGCTGTGTGACACTATTTTGGTAAATTTTACTACATTGACCCATTAGCAGTATGGGCATCTGTTATTTCAGCGATCTGAATAGAGAATCCTTTCCTACAAAAGTGACTTTTCCTACATCTTGTAAGATTTACTACAGCGTAGTGTCTCACCTACCAGGGAGTGGCATATCATTATTATGCATGCGTGTATGATTAACATTATCACAATAGACAAATAGGAGGCTACATGCATATAGTATTTTTTTGAGGGGACTATTTGAACCCCATGATGCAATACGTGTAGCAGCCTTTTCTCCCTCCCACAGGCATGCCTACAATAGGGGTATGACCCTGAGTATATAATTAGCCTTGATCTCTGTTAACTGATGAACTGACGGTTCTGTGTTAACTTATATTTGACAAACTGTACAATGGTACTTCATTTTTATTGTCTTTTCACACGTTTTGTTATGAGTGTAAACTGAATGGTATTCAATAAAGTATTTTGTTTGCTTCCAAATATTTGTGTTGATGGTCATTGAACTTGGAACTGACGAAATAAATGCAGCACAGAAAGTAATACAATTTAACATATACAACATAAAAAAAAAATTGACATCGACACTGGTACATGTCATCACGTCCCAGAAAATCAATGTGTAGATCCTTGTGACTCAGAAATCAATGTGTAGATCCTAGTGACTCAGAAATCAATGTGTAAATCCTAGTGACTCAGAAATCAATGTGATTTTTATATCTATACCGACTCGATAAACAAATGTGAACGGTCAATCCCACAGACTTGGAAACTAATGTGAACTGTCAATCCTATAGTGACTCCGAAACTAATGTCAATTGTCAATCCTACAGTGACTCAGAAACTAATGTCAACTCTCAATCCTACAGTGACTCAGAAACTAATGTCAACTGTCAATCCTACAGTGACTCCGAAACTAATGTCAATTGTCAATCCTACAGTGACTCAGAAACTAATGTCAACTCTCAATCCTACAGTGACTCAGAAACTAATGTCAACTGTCAATCCTACAGTGACTCAGAAACTAATGTCAACTGTCAATCCTACAGTGACTCAGAAACTAATGTCAACTGCCAATCCTACAGTGACTCAGAAACTAATGTCAACTGCCAATCCTAGTGACTCAGAAACTAATGTCAACTGTCAATCCTACAGTGACTCCGAAACTAATGTCAACTGTCAATCCTACAGTGACTCAGAAACTGTCAACTGTCAATCCTACAGCAACTCAGAAACTGTCAACTGTCAATCCTACAGTGACTCAGAAACTGTCAACTGTCAATCCTACAGTTACTCAGAAACTAATGTGAACTGTTAATCCTACAGTGACTCCGAAACTAATGTGAACTGTCAATCCTACAATGACTCCGAAACTAATGTCAACTGTCAATCCTACAGTGACTCAGAAACTAATGTCAACTGTCAATCCTACAGTGACTCAGAAACTAATGTCAATTGTCAGTCCTACAGTGACTCAGAAACTGTCAATCCTACAGTGACTCCGAAACTAATGTCAACTCTCAATCCTACAGTGACTCAGAAACTAATGTCAAATGCCAATCCTACAGACTCAGAAACTAATGTCAACTGTCAATCCTACAAGGAAACTAATGTGAACTGTCAATCCTACAGTGACTCAGAAACTAATGTCAATTGTCAATCCTACAGTGACTCAGAAACTAATGTCAACTGTCAATCCTATAGTTACTCAGAAACTAATGTCAACTGTCAATCCTACAGTGACTCGGAAACTAATGTCAACTGTCAATCCTACAGTGACTCAGAAACTAATGTCAACTGTCAATCCTACAGTGACTCAGAAACTGTCAACTGTCAATCCTACAAGGAAACTAGTGTGAACTGTCAATCCTACAGTGACTCAGAAACTAATGTGAACTGTCAATCCTACAGTGACTCAGAAACTAATGTGAACTGTCAATCCTACAGTGACTCAGAAACTAATGTCAACTGTCAATCCTACAGTGACTCAGAAACTGTCAACTGTCAATCCTACAGTGACTCCGAAACTAATGTCAATTGTCAATCCTACAGTGACTCCGAAACTAATGTCAACTTTCAATCCTACAGTGACTTAGAAACTAATGTCAACTGTCAATCCTACAGCAACTCAGAAACTGTCAACTGTCAATCCTACAGTGACTCAGAAACTAATGTCAACTGTCAATCCTACAGTGACTCAGAAACTAATGTGAACTGTCAATCCTACAGTGACTCAGAAACTGTCAACTGTCAATCCTACAGTTACTCAGAAACTAATGTCAACTGTCAATCCTACAGGGATTGTCCACTATTATATATTATTGCTATCTGAAACTAGTGTTAAATCAACTTTTCCTCTGGTGGATTATGATAAATAATGTGATCTTGTGACTGAATTACTGCAAGATGCCAATACATATTCCCATGCTGTCATACACAGTAAACAGAAAGTGTGAAAGAACTGGGTTTATAACACTTATACGTCATTGTTATGTTCCTGGAAAATTTTGGCGGAGCATATAACTGCTGTTTTGTATGTTTGTCCTTAAGTTGGAGCATAACTTTTCCCACAGTTCAACAAGAAAAATTAAACTTGGTTTATACATTGGTCATGTTAACACAATGTGAAGTGTGCCAAAGTCGGGTCACTGTCAGTCCACTGAATTACAAAGTTATTGCCCTTTGTTAAAATTTGGTTACCTGACCACAACTTTAAACTGCTTTCATCATGTGTCTAGAGGATAACTTTACTTGCATTTAAGCTAACATAATGAAACTTGATTGTACATTGGTCATACTAAGAGTATCAACAGTGTCGCAAATTCAGGGTCTAAAACACCTTTATTACAGAATTATTATCCCCCACTTTCACCGAAATGGGGGGATATTAATTTGGGTTTGTTTGTACGTCCCTCCGTCTGTCACAATTTCGTTTCTGTGTTTAACTTCCCCAAATATCATCAAATTTGGGTGAAACTTGGTCAGCAGATGCATCTTGGGGTCATTAAGACTGAGTTTGACTATCAGTGTCATCTGTTAATAATTATGCATACTAATGAGGTATCCTTTGATTTCATTGGTCGGTTCATTTCCGTGCTCTAACTTTCCTAAATATAATCTGATTTAGCTGAAACTTGGTCAGCAGATACATATTAGGGCACATAGGATTTGATTTCAGCAATCAGCATCGTCTGTTAATATCTATGCATACTAATTAGGTATCCTTTCATTTCATTGGTCGGTCAGTTTTTGTGCTCTAACTTTCCTAAATATAATCTGATTTAGATGTAACTTGAAGTCCCACACATATTATCCAGTCCCCTGTACTGATCATCATATCGTGTGGACTACTATACCTGCTGATGACCATGGATCTGCTTAGCACCATTATAGTTACTAGTATGCAAGTTTTCTTCAATTAGTTCACTTTATTGGTTAATATTTGATATGTCCAATAAAACATCTACTCTCTATAATCCTTTACATCTTTCTTTGGCTTTAAAGCAATACATCATAGCTCAAGAGAATATATCGTTCTACATAGCATTATGACATGTTTACCTCTAACTTCGAAAATATTTACTTACAATATGTTTGGAAAGTGGGGGATATAAATTCCATGAATTTGCTTGTTTCCCTTGTGTTAAAGTTGTTTTCATCAGTTTTACTGATACTCGTGTAGGGATTGACTTAGTATTAGAAAAATAAAAATGATCTGAAAAAAGAAAAGAAAAAGTAAACATGACAATTTCCATTATTTTTTATTGTATATTTCTAGCATTTCTTTACAGAATCTGTGCAGAGGAAACCCCATTACATTATAGAAGTCTCCAGTGATACCTTCCACAAGGGATGCTCCAATCCCTTGTATACCATAACCCCCTGCTTTATCCCTGTAAAATAAACACAACTTGCAAGGATCAACCAAGACAACAATGAATTTTTCACTTCCTATGTTTATATTTCAAACCCATTCAATTCTATCACTGTGCCCTTTTTTTGGTAATCTATTCTGCTGTAAGGACCCTTGTGGTTAAGCAGACAATTTCCTAAAAATCAAATTTTCTTGAATATTTTCAGTCTGATAGATTAAACAATGTTTAAACAAAGACTTTATGTCAGATAACATGACATACAAAGGTACACCTACCAAACAATGTTTAAACAAAGACTTTATGTCAGATAACATGACATACAAAGGTACACCTACCAAACATGTGACGTTACTAAATGTGCAGTACATGACAATCTGACATTGTGCAACATGTGATCACATGATTGCAGTGTATGACACTACATAATGTGACATGACATTTCACTCATATTTTCCAGCATTGTACTGTCTTATGGCATTTATGATTGTTATAAATGACAGACCTTTGCTGGGAAACATACTCCACCTTCCCTCGTGTAAGTATGACAACTTACCTACATTCTCCAGTGTCTATGTAAGCATTGACAATATCTGGAGTTAAGTTAGCCATTATTACATCAGTCGATTCGTGGAACTGCGTCATCAGTAGGTCCTCATAACCATCAATTTTTGATCCTGTAAAAACTGATAATTGAAGACAATATTATAATTCTGCTGAATCAAGTAAATCATAGAAATATATCCGTTTACCATGTTTCAGAGAAGTTTTAATTTTGCAATCAATTACTTCATACAAAATATAAAAGAAAATTTGATTCCTCATACAATTACCAGCATGACTGATAGTGTGACCTTGACCTTGTTTATGTGGTCATGACGTATAGATTATATGATCTACTTATAGAGGGTGAAACCTTGATCTGAAAACAGTACAGCTACAGAGGGTGTGACCTGTCTGCTGATTGTGTGATCTAGCTACAGACGGTGTGACCTGTCTGCTGATTGTGTGATCTAGCTACAGATGGTGTGACCTGTCTGCTGATTGTGTGATCTAGCTACATATGGTGTGACCTGTCTGCTGATTGTGTGATCTAGCTACAGATGGTGTGACCTGTCTGCTGATTGTGATCTAGCTACAGATTGTGTGACCTGTCTGCTGATTGTGTGATCTAGCTACAGAAGGGGTGACCTGTCTGCTGATTTTGTGATCTAGCTACAGAAGGTGTGACCTGTCTGCTGATTGTGTGATCTAGCTACAGAAGGTGTGACCTGTCTGCTGATTGTGTGATCTAGCTAAAGAAGGTGTGACCTGTCTGTTGATTGTGTGATCTAGCTAAAGAAGGTGTGACCTGTCTGCTGATGGTGTGACCTACCTATGCATGGGTTGACCAACCTTTTGGTTGATGTGACCTACCTATCGTTGATGTGACCTACCTATCGATGGTGTGACCTACCTATGCATGGTGTGACCTACCTATGCATGGTGTGACCTACCTTTTAATGATGTGACCCACATTGAATGATATGACCTATGTGTTAATGGTGTGATCTATGTATTGAGGTGTGTGACTTACCTGAAGAATTCACAGGACAGAGTAATGTAACACCTGTACATACAGAATGCTTTCTGCCACTGAATCTACAATTAACAAGGTACAATTATTATCTGTAGTTCCATATTATCCAGAGTGGCACGGCCAAATTTTACTGATTTTTTCAAAATTTGATCACATATAAGCTGCACTGGAATAAAAGTCAAACCACTTCTTAGGAAGTGGTAGCCATTACATGACCAAAGTTTGTTGATATATCGGACAACGGAGGGCAATTTATCAAGATTGTCAGTGAAACATTTGATAAAGTTTGAAAATGAATTCTACACAGATAATCTTTTATTTTATTGATGTAGTTAAAGAAACAGAAATAGAAAATATTGAACTCGTTTGGCTTGGAAGCCTTCACAGATGGTCTACACACAGATATAGGGCCCGATGTTACGTACAGTTTACTAAACAATCTCTCTATCAGTGTCTGTACTGTTGAATATTAAGGAAGGCCCTTGCATGCTGACTTAATTCTTATAATCCCATATTATTTCTTCTTGTAAATTACAAGAAGCCATTCATATCGTAAACAAGCATGGTGGTCATTCTGGTATTTGACCTATAACCCAATGACCTATTGATCCAAAGATGCAAAAGGCTATTGTAAACTTCCACTATAGATTCAAAGTAACTGTGAAAGTCCAGACGATATTTATTGTGATTCATATAAAAGAGTATGATGAATTAAATCCATGAGAATGTTATTTTTATTTTAATGTTCAAATCATCCTGCATACAATTACAAATGACAGTTCTAAATGATCTGTTTTAGTCACAAACATGTGACAGGCAGGTACTCGTAAAAAAATCAGTACCATCCTTTTTCCAACAATGTTAGAGATTATACACAGTGAGAAACTTATGACAGGTGCTATATAGTCACAGCTGGCATAATAATGACAGATCATAAAACAGTCGACTATAAACACTTCAACTGTACATATGTAGAAATACACAATTAAATAGGTTACTTCTATATAATGTCATTGTAACCAAATGTGTTCTGAATTACATATATAGTTGTTTTAAACAGCAATACCAAAGTCATAAAACTGATACATGCACAGAAGTTATTTAGAGAAAGAGATCTCTAGGTCTTAATAAAGAGCTCACTTGTTACTGATGCAGCATCTGTTAATAAAAAAGCTCTTCTCTGTTGTTGCTATGACAAAACTTTCAATCATTTGTGTTTTGATCCCAAACTTAATACCTCCTAATCCTGTGTCATATACTACAGATCAAATATCATGACCTTGGGTCTCCTTGGGTTAAGGATTTTTTCTTAATTAAAGTGATAGCCCCTCCTCACAGCATGGTACAGTAGCCCAACATTGACACCCTAGACCTCTTAGATACTCAGAAGATTTTTATCAAAATTTCTACACATTGTACCTCTGTGGCCTTGAAAGGTCAAGATCATTCTTTTGAATAACATTGTTCATCCCTCTTATATCACAGTCCATTTCCTTATACCTTATCACTCATTAAATCTCTTACCTCATTAACATATTGTAGGCATCCTGGTAGTCTTTTGGTTTTTCAAATATCTGGTTATCCTGTGTTACAACTGTATCAGCACTGATGATCAAATCTGGTGAACCCTGAATTATATTTGTTAGTGAAATGACTTAAACGGCAGAACTATGGAATACCAAGTTCTCCTAATTATGACATTAACTGAAAGGAGAAATCAGTGTATACTGTTATATATCATACAGTAAACATCAATTCCATTTTCTTGCTTTCCTTTTGTTCAAAGAGTTTCATGCCCATGAATGCCATTTGAAATTAGTTCAATGCTTATATCTATCATTTTCAATTTTCATCTTGTTATAATAGCAGGCAACTTAAATTCGTTGACATTAGCTAAATCATTCCTACACTGTTGGCAATTCATAAACAGGTAATACACAACCAATTTTGGTAATTAGGTTACAATGAAGTGACGGTAAATATTTGTAGATATGCCACAAAAGTGACAAGCATTTCTGCTAATTGATATATACTGACAGTGCTAAAGATACATATGTCATTTTATAATAAAACCATATACATCCTATCTATCTGATTTTCAAGCTCTGTAATAAGCCCATCCCCTGACTTTCCATCAGAGATGATCTGTTGACTTTGGTTCAGAGGTTATGTGTCCGTACCCTGAGGTTCTGTATCAACCACACCCACTGACTTTGGTTCAGAGGTTATGTGTCCGTACCCTGAGGTTCTGTATTAACCACACCCACTGATCTTGGTTCAGAGGTGTTACGTTACCCCCCTTCCCCCCTGAAGTCCTGTAGTACCTGTAAGCCCACCCTGGACTTTCATCAGAGGTGTTATGTTACCCCCTTCCCCCCTGAAGTCCTGTAGTACCTGCAAGCCCACCCTGGACTTTCATCAGAGGTGTTATGTTACCCCCTTCCCCCCTGAAGTCCTGTAGTACCTGTAAGCCCACCCTGGACTTTCATCAGAGGTGTTATGTTACCCCCTTCCCCCCTGAAGTCCTGTAGTACCTGTAAGCCCACCCTGGACTTTCATTCAGAGGTGTTATGTTACCCCCTTCCCCCCTGAAGTCCTGTAGTGCCTGTAAGCCCACCCTGGACTTTCATCAGAGGTGTTACGTTACCCCCTTCCCCCCTGAAGTCCTGTAGTACCTGTAAGCCCACCCTGGACTTTCATCAGAGGTGAAATCATAAACAGGAAACATGATGCCCAACTCGTGATTTTGAATCAGAGGGGATATCATAAACAGGAAACATGATGCCCAACTTGTGATTTTGAATCAGAGGGGATATTATAAACAGGAAACATGATGCCCAACTTGTGATTTTGAATCAAAGTTGATATCATAAACAGGAAATATGATGCCCAACTTGTGATTTTGAATCAGAGGTGATATCATAAACAGGAAACATGATGCCCAACTTGTGATTTTGAATCAGAGTTGATATCATAAACAGGAAACATGATGCCCAACTCGTGATTTTGAATCAGAGTTGCTATCATAAACAGGAAACATGATGCCCAACTCCTGACCCTGAATCAGAGGTGATATCATAAACAGGAAACATGATGCCCAACTTGTGACTTTGAATCAGAGGGGATATCATAAACAGGAAACATGATGCCCAACTTGTGACTTTGAATCAGAGGTGATATCATAAACAGGAAACATGATGCCCAACTCCTGACTTTGAATCAGAGTTGATATCAAAAACAGGAAACATGATGCCCAACTCCTGACTTTGAATCAGAGGTGATATCATAAACAGGAAACATGATGCCCGACTTGCGACTTTGAATCAGAGAGGATATCATAAACAGGAAACATGTCTGTATATAAGTAGCATACAAAATCTATTATACAAATCATCTAACTGACTGGTAAAGCAAAAACCTTTAACTGTCTTTCTCACTTGTTGCCACCAAGGCATTCAGGATTATTCATGTTGTTGTTTATACTGTCCAGGATCACTGTACAAACATTATCCATTAGGTGCTCTCGTCACATAGTGTACCATCACTATGACATAAAACGTTTATACAATAAGACCTACCTCTCCACTACACAGCCTCTGAGCCACCTCCAGAGCCTTCTGTTTTGCTGTTTCTCGCACATAATCTATCGGAAGAAGACTTTTGTCAATGTTTTCCTCAAATGTTGATGGGACTACATCAAACACTAATCCCTGAAATGTATATTCAGCATTGTACATATCAAGATATCAAACTAATGTCTTTTGTACTACAATACTGCATGACACTTGAGTTTGGTCCTTCGCCAGGGAAGTTAACTTGACAACAGCAATTAACATCTTTTAACAACATATACTTCAGCATGGAGTATATATATATTTATGATCAATGAAGTAATAGCAACAATAACACTAATATTTGTCTTGATAAAGGAGCAGGTTGTCTCGGAAAGTTAACAATTCGCTTGTCCATACTGTTGCTATTACTTCATTGATCATATATCTATCCCAGTAATACGCATCTATCGAACATGTTTGTAAGAATCCAGTACCAATATTGGACCATGCCAACGATATTACTTACTAGATTCTATATATAAAAGATCTAGTACCAATATTGGATCATACCGCCCATATTACTTACTAGATTCTATATATAGAAGATCCAGTACCAATATTGGATCATATCGTCGATATTACTTATTTGATTCTATATATAGAAGATCCAGTGCCAATATTGGACCATACTCTCTATATTACTTACTAGATTCTATATATAGAGGATCCAGTACCAATATTGGATCATACCGTCAATATTACTTATTAGATTCTATATATAGAAGATCCAGTGCCAATATTGGACCATACTCTCTATATTACTTACTAGATTCTATATATAGAGGATCCAGTACCAATATTGGATCATACCGTCAATATTACTTATTAGATTCTATATATAGAAGATCCAGTGCCAATATTGGACCATACTCTCTATATTACTTACTAGATTCTATATATAGAGGATCCAGTACCAATATTGGATCATACCGTCGATATTACTTACTAGATTCTATATATAGAAGATCCAGTGCCAATATTGGACCATACTCTCTATATTACTTACTAGATTCTATATATAGAGGATCCAGTACCAATATTGGATCATACCGCCCATATTACTTACTAGATTCTATATCAGAAGATCCAGTACCAATATTGGATCATACTGTTGATATTACTTACTAGATTCTATATTAGAAGATCCAGTACCAATATTGGACCATACTGTTGATATTACTTACTAGATTCTATATATAGAAGATCTAGTACCAATATTGGACCATACCATCGATATTACTTACTAGATTCTATATATAGAAGATCCAGTACCAATATTGGACCATACTGTCTATATTACTTACTAGATTCTATATATAGAAGATCCAGTACCAATATTGGACCATACTGTTGATATTACTTACTAGATTCTATTTATAGAAGATCCAGTACCAATATTGGATTGTACCGTCGATATTACTTACTAGATTCTATGTATAGAAGATCCAGTACCAATATTGGATCATACTGTTTATATTACTTACTAGATTCTATATATAGAAGATCCAGTACCAATATTGGAACATACCGTTGATATTACTTACTAGATTCTATATATAGAAGATCCAGTACCAATATTAGACTATACCGTCGATATCACTTACTAGATTATATATACAGTGAAACCTCACTATTAAGACCACTTTGGGGATGGACAAAAGAGTATATATATCATTAAGTAATGTACATGTATATTATTCAACAATAATAACTAATAATAACAAATTTTATGAAATGCATTTAAAAAAGACAAAATTGCTGAATTGACAGAAGAATAATTATGTATATATTCGTTAGTTTATATCATAATATACATGTATATTTACTATTGTAAACATTGAATAAAAGGAAACAAACAAATTTTGCAACTATTTCACATAAATTTACGAACACATTTCCTCAGTATTTGTAACAACTTTAATGAAATCACTATAAAGTCTTTCAACGCTTCATTTTTCACATAAATTCGCAAACACATTATCTTCATCAGTGTATCACTCAGTACAACACATTTTTCTTTTTACTTAATAAATAAAAAGAGTCCAGTGCACAATATTGCGAAGAGCTACGGATCTGGACAGCCTCCTCTTTCATACGTCATTTTTTCCGATCGCGATAGCTCGTTTCGTTTCCGTGGTTTCGTCATTGCTTGATAAAGTTCATCGGAATTTTGTGACAGAGAAAATGTGTCGTAAAAAAATTGGAACACTTACACGGTTTTTTATTGTTCAAACGATATCGAGAGTGTAACATTGCTACAAAAACAGTTAAAATCCCTCGACAACATGTGCGCGTGCAAGCCAAGGAATATCAGTCGAAACAACTACATAATTCACTTTTGGGTATGCAGGGCTTCTAAGGTGTTTAACAGCATACCTACCGATCTGGCGACAGGGTCGGTAGTCCGTGTCGAAAACAATGGTCGTCAACCACACACATGTTCGCGGTTCATTGCCCACCAGGTAAACTTTAATCACTGGTCAGACCGTGGTCGTAATTGTGAGGTCAATCATCGTTAAAGTGTACCCTGAGAGGTCAGCTATGTTGACCTTGCAAAACAGTTATGCACATAAAATACACTATGCCGAAAACGCGAATGCCGTGGAATGTTCCGTTACTGAGAAATTGCGACTTTTCTGAAAAACACACCTTTGGCTGACAGGCGTTGACCTCGTTTTCGGGCACCCAAACCTGTGACGTCATAAGTTCAACGCTTTTGTTGATGCAGCCATATTGTCTTTACTGTGCTACATGTGATTGTGATCTATTTTGGGATTTTCCGTGGTAATTTCTTTGTTTATTTACGTGAAAGTACTTCACATCTTCGCAATATCTAAGGTAGTGAACGAAGGGTCGGTGAATTAGCGCTTAAATCCGCTAAAATGGCTTCCTATCGAGGAGGGAAGCGGTGTGTATGGTTGTCCTAACACTAACACAGATGGGGTGTCGATGCATGACGTCGATAAATAAAACTGATTGTTGATTAAATAAAAGTATATTTGTTAGGTTTATATTTTGTTATTAATTCTACAACTAAATATTTTAAATTGATAGGCTAGCCTATGACTTGGGCGGTCGTTGGAATATTATTCCTTCGTAATCGTGAACGCCTAATACACGGAGAAGGCCTAATCGGGAATGGGTCACGAGAATTTTCATACTACTACTATATAGTATAGAATAGAATTATTATAATTCATAGAATAGGTTATGTGTGTATGTTGTTTGTATAAGGTTTACTTGGTTTTTAGATCTTCCAGCAGACGATGTTGTTTAGTTAGCCATTTTGCGATCGTAAAAATAACAATAAGATCACCAATCTTGATTTGTAAACACAGTTCACAGTGTAGAGATGTCATCTTAACTCATAATCACACCTGTGCCAGGTTAGGTAATTAGCACCTCTGTGGCTGGAAAAAACAACCGTGACACCTGTGAGGCGACACGCCTGTCGGCTAACAACAGACGCGTACCAGTGCTAGTGTAAAAACCAGTCAAATAATTGTGTAAACTTCTAAAACATCAAATTTTTATTGTTAACACAGCGGAGGGTGTTATAATTGGTTGTTGACACACTATCTATATATATCCATAGTGCTACGAAAATTCCCCTCGGACGAAACTTCTTCGGTACGAAAATTCCCGACACCTCATGAATGTATGCATAGTCTTGCACAAACGCGATTTCCCGACGTCAGAAATTGTTGATCGAGACTTGAAGATAGTAAAATTAGTCCAAAACCAAACCTAATTTTATTTTGTTTCTTTGAAACGACGATTCACTGTTCGACTACTTTCACGACTACTTTTAAGACCCAGTGAAGTACGTGCCAATCTATGTTGCCCAAGCGATCGTCACTTTCCGAAGGGTCATTTTCCTCCTCACTGGATACATCGTCTTGTAATTCCAGTTCAAATCGGTAGGGCTGGATTCCGTCTTCAGAAATATCATCCACACCATAATCAGAATCCTCAAAACTCATGTTTTAAAGAAGTGGTCGTAATACGGAATAGCGGGGTGGTCGTAATACTGAAGCGACCAATACAAAGATATATTGTGGAAAAAAACGGGACTGAAAAAAGTGCCCGTAATAGCGGGGTGGTCGTAATTTTGAGGTGGTCGTTAGGTGAGATTTCACTGTATATTATAAAAGTAAAGATTGCTCGACCTCTCGTCATCTTCAGTTGATTACCATTAGTCTTACGACATGTAATAATCGATAAGCTAAATACATGCAACGTTTAAGAATCCTTGGAGAGCGAATGAAAATGGCACGTGAAAGAATGTACTTCTTGATAGAGCAGCGTCAAGGGGTCCAACCTAAACCGTAGGTCACGGCCTAACTATCCCCGGTCACAACCAAAATGGCGGCGACCATCCGCTTCACGACACAGCGGTGAGTAAAATAAGTGTTTTGTCTGCTTACAGAGAACTACCTTATCACATCAATATTGCGTTTCGGATCTAGAGGAATTTATCTTTATATTCGTGCAACGAATTCACAATATAACCCAGTCCTGTAAAAATACACGTGAAAAAACCTCAGTGTTTTGACAGTCAAAACTGGTATCGAGGTCGGTTTTCCTACTTATTTGACTAATATATTACATATCAAACATTTGCATGGTGTAACGATAACAGAATATGCAATATAAAACCCGAATTGTATAACATAATTGCAAATTATGGCTTATGAATAACACACTGTTTCAATTTCAGACTTATGAGACACACCTTCGTTGGTCCAATAGAGGTTAGGATGTCATTTTCGTCGTTCCCATTTTTACAGGCAAATTATATGCGTATTGTTTTCAGACACGTCTGTGAGGAGTGCGGCCAGTTGTACGCGGGAGGATCGGAGTGACAGTTTACGTTTTTTCTTTTCATTTCTGAAATTAACCAAAGATAACATGCGTGAGAAGATCATTTATGGACATTGTGGTAGACTATACATTGTCCTAAACTCGGCGTGACCGACGAAGGTTTTCCTAAACTAACAAATAAATCGAACCAGTGGGTGTTTCATATACCAGTACCCGTATTTCTTTTACACAATTCAGGTTTTATATTGCATATTCTGTTATCGTTACACCATACAAATGTTTGATATGTAATATATTAGTCAAATAAGTAGGAAAACCGACCTCGATACCAGTTTTGACTGTCAAAACACTGAGGTTTTTTCACGTTTATTTTTACAGGACTGGGTTATATTGTGAATTCGTTGCACGAATGTAAAGATAAATTCCTCTAGATCCGAAACGCAATATTGATGTGATAAGGAACGTTCTCTGTAAGCAGACAAAACACTTATTTTACTCACCGCTGTGTCGTGAAGCGGATGGTCGCCGCCATTTTGGTTGTGACCGGGGATAGTTAGGCCGTGACCTACGGTTTAGGTTGGACCCCTTGAGCGTGGAGTGTTGACAGTAGACAGACTGTGCAACAAGATCATTGAAAGGACTTACCACATGATTTTGAAGAATTGTTTTCCTTCTCGGAGAACCACTGGCTAGAATGATTTTGTTTGTATTTAACGATGATATAACCGGTTGCAACATCTTTAAAACAAAATGATGGTAGATTCTGAGGTCAATATGGTTGCACTCGGGTTAGACGATTTACAGGATCGGGCAGAATCGAACAGGATCGGACAGAATCAGGCAGAATAGTGCCGTTTTAATGATTTTTATGAATTTCTTTTGCATTGATATCATCATATGTTAAACATTATGAATTGTTTTGAAGGAAAAATGAAGACGTATTACATAAAACGTTTTATTCATTTTAATGAATTACTTTTGCATATAAACAACATATAAACCACATGAAAACCGCCCAATTCTGTCCGATCATGTAAATCGTCTTTCGGTCTTGCCCGACCAAAACAGATATGAGTGTTCTATGTAATATGTCTTCATTTTTCCTTAAAAACAATTAATAATGTGAAACATAAGATGCTATCAATGCAAAAGAAATTCATTAAAATCTTCGAAACGGCACTATTCTAGTCCGATTCTGCCCAATCCTGAAATCCAGAACTGTTGATGGTTCAGTAAACCAGTTAACCAGAACTGTTGATGGTTCATTAAACTAGTTCCCCATAACTGTTGATGGTTCAGTAAACCAGTTAACCAGAACTGTTGATGGTTCATTAAACTAGTTCACCATAACTGTTGGTGGTTCAGTAAACCAGTTCACCAGAACTGCTGGTGGTTCAGTTAACCAGTTCACCATAACTGTTTCTGGTTCAGTAAACCAGTTCACCATAACTGTTGGTGGGACAGTAAACAAATTCACAAGAACTGTTGGTGGGACAGTAAACAAATTCACAAGAACTGTTTCTGGTTCAGTAAACCAGTTCCCCATAACTGTTGGTGGTTCAGTAAACCAGTTCACCATAACTGTTGGTGGTTCAGTAAACCAGTTCACCAGAACTGCTGGTGGTTCAGTAAACCAGTTCAGCATGACTGTTGGTGGTTCAGTAAACCAGTTCACCATAACTGTTTCTGGTTCAGTAAACCAGTTCACCATAACTGTTGGTGGGACAGTAAACAAATTCACAAGAACTGTTTCTGGTTCAGTAAACCAGTTCCCCATAACTGTTGGTGGTTCAGTAAACCAGTTCACCATAACTGTTGGTGGGACAGTAAACAAATTCACAAGAACTGTTTCTGGTTCAGTAAACCAGTTCCCCATAACTGTTGGTGGTTCAGTAAACCAGTTCACCAGAACTGCTGGTGGTTCAGTAAACCAGTTCAACATGACTGTTGGTGGTTCAGTAAACCAGTTTCCCATAACTGTTGGTGGTTCAGTAAACCAGTTCACCATAATTGTTGGTGGGACAGTAAACAAATTCACAAGAACTGTTTCTGGTTCAGTAAACCAGTTCACCATAACTGTTTCTGGTTCAGTAAACCAGTTCACCATAACTGTTTCTGGTTCAGTAAACCAGTTCACCATAACTGTTGGTGGGGCAATATACCAATTCACCAGAACTGTTTCTGGTTCAGTAAACCAGTTCACCAGAACTGTTGATGGGACAGTTAACCAGTTCCCCATAACTGTTTCTGGTTCAGTAAACCAGTTCACCAGAACTGTTGGTGGTTCAGTAAACCAGTTCAACATGACTGTTGGTGGTTCAGTAAACCAGTTCACCAGAACTGTTGGTGGTTCAGTAAACCAGTTCAACATGACTGTTGGTGGTTCAGTAAACCAATTTCCCATAACTGTTGGAGGTTCAGTAAACCAGTTCACCATAACTGTTGGTGGGACAGTAAACCAGTTCACCATAACTGTTGGAGGTTCAGTAAAACAGTTCACCATAACTGTTGGAGGTTCAGTAAACCATGTCACCATAACTGTTGGTGGGACAGTAAACCATATCACCATAACTGTTGGTGGGACAGTAAACCAGTTCACCATAACTGTTGGTGGGGAAGACGATTTACATGTTAAAAAAAATTGGGCGATTTATATGTGGTTTATATGTTGTTTATATGCAAAAGTAATTCATTAAAATGAATAAAACGGCACTATTCTACCCCGATTCTGCCCGATCCTGTACATAGTCTTTCGGTCTTGCGCGACCAAACAGATATGAGTGTTCTATGTAATATGTCTTCATTTTTCCTTAAAAACAATTCATAATGTTTAAGATATGATGATATCAATGCAAAAGAAAATCATAAAAATCATTGAAACGGCACTATTATAGTCCGATTCCGCCCGATTCTGCCCAATGCTGTAAATCGTTTAACCGGCTGCATTCGATTAACACGGCCGAATCGGTTCAAATGGTTAGAATTATTCCCGAATCACGTAAACGCAATTTTACTGGATGTACATTTATATGCATCATCCACAAGTATTAATAAACACAAACGTAGAATTACAGAACATTGTTTATAAATTACAAAATATGCGTTTACGTTTTTGTAAAATATCAATAAACAACGTGATCCGTAACAATAGTTCCCGATTTCGCATTTATTGCATCCTAAGATCAAGATCACATAAATGTTTTTGCTCATTGACAGGGGAGATACTAATGACCGGATCACAGACCTAAAGTTTATCACGATTAGTGTGTGCTATAACTCAGTTTCACTACCGTAATTAAAGAACATATCAACAACGACACATTTAAATATTGGAATGAGATTTTGGCCCTATTTTTCATATTTTACAGATAGCTCATTGAAGATCACGTTGTACGACTGTCCATGTCATGTCAACCATTGATTCATTCGTGTTTTTTTTATTTCAGTTCTGAAAACAATGATTTCCTGAAGACATACAGCGAATAGAAATGTAAAATGTTGTTTTTATGTAGTTTTTTTAGTTTGAATAATATGTTTTCTTATTAAAAAGAAACAATCTAAAATAATTCATCAATCGCCTTTTAACATAAATACAGTATGACAAGGCCATGAGGAGTGAACGTAGTATTAACTGATATTTTAATGTGGTAGACAAATGTGATAAAATATTTGGAGAGAATATTTACTCAATCTAAAGTTTAAGGAACTTTTCCTTCCATAAATACATTATTTGTTGTTTTCCTAACTGATGCATGATGTTTGTTTTTTGTTTTTGTTTTGTTTATTCTTTTGACTAATCTCTACAGGTTTGCCGTTTAAGATACTGATCGCTCAGTCTCGTTCAACCAGACCCTTGTCTGCACAAGTGGTTGAAGTGTCTGGGCGAACGAAAATATTTGTTCTCCGCTATTGGCACAAACATTCCTGGGAAGTCCGCTTCTGTGTCACAACTTAATGACTAACAGTATGGATGAATTCTTTTCCACATTTTTCTTTCGCGTGAGTTCTCTTCAGGGCTTGCTTTCGATAACGAGGATCAAATTAAAGTGTATGAGGCATCCATCAATTACCTTTCATGGACATTGTCTAATTTTGCATTGCACCGATGTAGCCAGGGTTGTAAATGTAATCCTGGTAACGTTACATCAGTTATTTCATTGTAGCAGGAATTCTAAATGTAGAACCGGACATGGCATCTGTTCTTGGTATCTTTGTAGCACGAATCCGAAATATCTCATGGGAAAGAAGAATTTATGTAATGTCACATATGGTGCATGCATTTTAATTATAATACATGGAAATTTTGTGGAAATTTAGAAATAGGACTGAGAAATCGGCCATTGTTGACGCGTAAGTAACGGTTTGCATAGAGATGGGTAAATATTTTATATGTATTGCGAGTTGTCTTTCTTGCTTCACGCTTTGCAAGACACGAAACGCACGCCATTCCTTTGATGTCTTCCAGTAAAAGCTTGATAGTTATTACGATCATTGAGGTTTTTTGCTGTAATGCAGGATTACACAAGCTTGATTAGTAATTAACTACTGATATTCTATTGATAGTTTCCACACATGTATCAATGATAAAGTACTGCCAATCATTCACTTATTTTTAGCTTTATAATACAGAGTGATACTATATTAATAACTAATCAATCAAAGTAATACACTTGTTACCGCCAATCTTACTTGAAACATACTTTATTGTATGCAAATCAGATTATGACCGTGTCGTAGCTGGTCACCGGAAGCACACTCCACAAAATAATATCCTCCCGGACACCGGGCGGCGTGGCTTTATATCTAAGAATGTATTAATAATTTTTGCTATATCTTCAGAAGGAACAGATTGTCAACAGTCTTTGACCGTTTTTGTTCATGTCAAATATTTCAAATAACCAAGTGATTTAGTCTTTATCCTCTTAAGAGATCTTAAACCAGCGGAACAAATGACATAGAGACTGGAATTTTCCTGATAGCAGTGCCGAAATATTTGTAAAAGTGGTCTCGGATCTCAAGAACGTACAAATGACACGCAAGTAAATAGCGAAAACTTTTTATATAAATTTAGAGTTAGATACAGTAGAGACAAACAGTTAAACTGCACCATACAGCTGTTTCGTCCTTCTAGGACTCGTCTGTGATGCTACATCATACAGCTGTTTCGTCCTTCTAGGACTCGTCAGTGATGCTACATCATACAGCTGTTTCGTCCTTCTAGGACTCGTCTGTGATGCTACATCATACAGCTGTTTCGTCCTTCTAGGACTCGTCAGCGATGCTACATCATACAGCTGTTTCGTCCTTCTAGGACTCGTAAGCGATACTAAATGCTTTAATCTAAATTTTGAAGACTTGGAGGCGACACAGGAAAATCCAAAGTGATCGAAAGAAAAGTAAAAATTAAGGTCAAAGAGAAGATCAAATAGTTGGAGGGTAAAAGCTCATTATGGAGAAAAAGTCCTACGGAGATGGATGGTTCAGTAAACCAGTTCACCATAACTGTTGAAGGTTCAGTTAA